CATTTCAACATACTACGTTTTGGGACACACTAATTCTAATTTTGAATACTATTTAGGACGGATATTATGTGAATTGGGACGCAGCAACTGTTTGGATTTCAATATGCAAACGCTTAAAGGAGTAGTTCACTTTTCAAAAAACTTTTTCTGATAAAAATTAAGGTTTTTGATGAAAACATTCCAGGATTTTTCTCCATATAATGGACTTCAATGGGAACCAAACGATTCGAGGTCCAAAAGAGAGTTTCAGTGCAAACTACAAACTGTTCAAAGGGCTTTAAACGATTCCAGACGATGAATAAGGGTCTTATCAAGTGAAACGATCGCTCATTTAAAAAAAACCCCAAAGTTTAAGTTTTATAAGCTCAAATGCTCGCCTTGCTCTGTTCTGCGTTCATGACTCTCCTGTTCGTTCAATTCAATTCGTTCATTTTGTTTGTTGAATCAACCAAATGACTCGAAAAAAGATTCGTTCATTTTAATGAACGAGTTCGAAATAGAGAGTCACGAACGCGCATCACAGAACAGAGCAAGGCGAGCATTTGAGCTTATAAAACTTAAACTTTGTTTTTTGATTTTGTTTTTCAAATGAGCGATCGTTTCGCTTGATAAGACTGTTATTCATCGTCTGGAATCGTTTTAAGCCCTTTGAACAGTTTGCACTGAAACTCTCTTTTGGACCTTGAACCGTTTGGTTCCCATTGAAGTCCATTATATGGAGAAAATCCTGGAATCCTTTTCATCAAAAACCTTCATTTCTTTTCGACTGAAGAAAAAAAGAAATTGATATCTTGGATGACATGGGGGTAAATTATCAGCAAAAGTTTTTTTTTTTTTTGAACTACTCCTTTAAGACTGTAATAATGATTGATCATTATTGCCGTGATTATTAGGTCTCTGTTATGTTATATCATATCTTCTAATCCTAATTGGGTGTAGCTTTTCATTTCTTAGACAACCATGTCGTCCAGTCCCCATTTACAGCCATGTTTAAATATTGCCAATTGTTTTGAGCCAGACAGTGTATAAAGCTTCTGTTAAAGCAGTGTCAAAGATGCCCTTGTGGCGTGGTGGAGTATCAGACGTATTTTCACATTTGTCCATGTTTATCCAACTGATATTACCCACAATCCCTTGCACTACAGAAGAGATTGTGACCATTCATTTTTTTGTTTTTAGGCCAAAGCCATCACAGTCATTTTTAAATGTCAAAACGAGTGACTGTTTATTAACACACATAAATACACTATTAAAAAGTGCATGTTGTAATAATGTAAAACTTATTAAACCATTGTGTTTAATATTATCTTTTATTGTGCCTTAGTACACATTTTGATGTATTGACTAACACACTAAAGTGCTTGATTATAATTAAGTTTTACATAGAAAAATATTTAAAATGTAGCAAATTGCAACTTCGTTATTACAAATACAAGGTCCCATTAAAGTGTGTCTTAGTTTAGGATACATACAGCACAATTTAACATTATATTTTTAATAAACAATAGAAGTAATTATGATATTCCATATAGAGATGCACTACTCAATTGGGTCAAGAAACGCTCTTAATAAACTGTATTAAATAAAATTTGACATTTTACTGCAATTAAGTGTCTAAAAACATTAAATTCAGTTTACAATACATTATTTCTGCAATAAAATGTGTTAAAGTGTACTTATTTTTCACAAGGGCTAAGCTAACTAGGATGCATCGAGATACTGCGAGGACAGTCAGATAACTTTTAAACCTGAATATTACAATCCAAAAAGCCGCCACACACACACACACACACACACACACACACACACACACACAACAGACATTCAACAGCCTCACATTTCCAGCTAAAAACTCCCTTTTCACACGTGATTGTCTCTTCAATTAAAGGCTAGCGTGGCGTAGTGCTCCCGACACACACACACACTGTGTATTTCACACTGCGCTGAAGCCCGGCCCATTTGCTGTCACGATTTAATTGTGTCTTTACCGCTCTCTCCTCCTGCTGCGCCAACCTAATAGATGTGAATACGACAAGCCCGCTGACAAAGAAAGCACTTTTTGCTCTTTCATTTAAACAAGCTGGAGCGTGTGATTACGACATCGCTAAAATCAGGACATGGTGACAAAGAGAGGAGAGAAAACAACATCAGACGGAGAGAAAGTTTTCTGGCTTGACGTTGGAGAATTTTCTTTTCAAAAGCCGCCGCTAGTAGAGATCAAGAGCTGCTGCCTAAGCAGGAATAGATATTCCTCAGACGTCGGTGTGTGTGTGTGAGCGCGTCCTGGTTTATGCATGAATACGCGAGTGTTTGTGTGTGTTTGTCGTATCTCTGATAGACATTTCTAGTTCTCCTGCGGTGTGAAACGCTGAGATGCAGCTGCCGTGCAGAACAAATGGGATTTGGACCCGTGTGTGAGTCTATACACACTCTTCCTGACAATGGCAGATAGAGTGCTTTGAAGTACTAACTGCATTAGTTACACAATGCTAGCCACTACAGCAGAACAGATACACCACCGTTCACACAGATATCATCAGCTATTAAAACAGCAGAAAACACAGGCAACTTCAGAGCAAAACAAGCAAATAGATAAATTAAAAACACATATCGCATGCTATTTTTATAGTTCAAGGGCGTTTCGATAAATAAGATGAAAAGACTTCTCGGGGGAGTGTATTGTTTGCATATGCATATGGATACTTGCATCCAATTAATGACTTATTATTATTCAAGTTAATAATAACAACGTAATGCAACACCATACAATGCCGTTTATAACTGCGTTCCAATAGCTTGTTTAAACAATATGCCTGTGCGCAAATCAAGGTCGATATAGAAATGGTTGTCCACGTTAGGTGTGGAAGAACTTGAACCCCAAAAAACAAGTTTAGGATGAACTTGATGGCGCATGAGGTCTTCTGGAATGGAGGATCAAATCCCTGTTAAATGCAATGGCCCATGCATGTTTAAATGTGGGATCTCATTCTATTGGCTGTATAAGTGTTGTTATTGAAAGCAAAATAGAAATGTAAAAAAACTAAAAAGCATGACAAAAAAATTTAATAAATAAAAATACAAAAATAAACAACTATATCAAAGAAGTATTAAACACCAGTATATAAATAATGCTAAAATAAAGATATAGAGTACTTAGATTTTGTTTATCTCTTTTTTTTTACTTGTTTTTACTACATTTGAAATTACCAATCAAAAATCTTCATATAAGTTGAAGAATCATATAAATATTTGTAATATAGTATTGTATATTTAATATTAGTATATTACTAGTGTATTTTGAACTAGGATGGAAGGATGGATGGATGGATGGAAGTGGATGGATGGATGATGGATGGAAGTGGATGGATGGATGGATAGAAGTGTATGGAAGTGGATGGATGGAAGTAGATGGAAATGGATGGATAGATGGATGGATGGATGGAAGTGGATGGATGGATGGAAGTGGATGGAAGTGGATGGATGATGGATGGAAGTGGATGGATGATGGATGGAAGTGGATGGATGGATGGATGGATGGATGGATGGATGGATGGATGGATGGATGGAAGTGTATGGAAGTGGATGGATGGATGGAAGTAGATGGAAATGGATGGATAGATGGATGGATGGATGGATGGATGGATGGATGGATGGAAGTGGATGGATGGATGGAAGTGGATGGAAGTGGATGGATGATGGATGGAAGTGGATGGATGATGGATGGAAGTGGATGGATGGATGGATGGATGGATGGATGGAAGTAGATGGAAATGGATGGATAGATGGATGGATGGATGGATGGATGGATGGATAGATGGATGGATGGAAGTGGATGGATGGATGGATGGATGGATGGATGGATGGATGGATGGATGGATGGATGGGTGGATGGATGGATGGATGGATGGAAGTGGATGGATGGACGGATGGAAGTGGATGGAAGAATGGATGGATGGAAGTGGATGGAAGAATGGATGGATGGATGGATAGATGGACGGATGGAAGTGGATGGAAGGATGGATTGATGGATGGACAGATGGAAGTGGATGGATGGACGGATGGATGAAAAAATGAATGGATGAAAGAATGAATGAATGGATGAATTGGTGAATGAATGAATGGATGGATGGATGGATGGATAAATGAATGGATGAGTGAATGGATGAATTGGTGGATGGATAGATGGGTGGATGGATGGATGGATGGATGGAAGTGTATGGATGGATGGATGGATGGAAGTGGATGGATAGATGGATGGAAGTGTATGGAAGTGTATGGATGGATGGACGAATGGAAGGAAGTGGATGGATGGAAGGATGGATTGATGGATGGACAGATGGAAGTGGATGGATGGATGAAAAAATGAATGGATGAAAGAATGAATGAATGGATGAATTGGTGAATAAATGAAAGGAATGAATGGATGGATGGATGAATTGATGGATGAATTGGTGAATGGATGGATAAATGAATGGATGAGTGAATGGATGAATTGGTGGATGGATATATGGGTGGATGGATGGATGTATGGAAGTGGATGGATGGATAGCAGTAAGAGAAGACACCCGTGTATTATCGAAACAATTGATTAAAACAAGTCTTAGTATGTCATGCAGTGCCTCCTGTCAAGTAAACTGATCTTGTTTTGGGAAATTTGCAGATTTTCCAACATAAAACAAACAGGAAAAGATCAAAATGGAAGGAACAGAACCTTCAACCACAGAAAAACTGGAACACATGCAATTCTATTCTTTACTATTCTACGCTCTATGTTCACTCAGTGCTTGTTCAAACAGTAGATAGTCTGGTTAAATGTGATGTTGCTTTCTACTAGCAATAAAAAACGTTTTCCCACGTTTAGATTCATTCGGATTTGAAAGTCTACAAGTTCCACCTGGACCTGCATCTGAAAGCAGGATCTCTCCTTTAACCAGTAAGGAAGGCTGTTCACCTTGAAACGCCGTGAGTGATGTGTATGAGGAGACTTATGATGACCGTACCTTTCCTCAGCTGGACGTTGAACTTGCGGCCGATCTTTTTGGAGTATCCCACGGAGGAAGTGGCGCTGGTGGGCCTGGAGGTTCGGGCCGGGCCCGGCGGGCTCATGTTGGAAGAGTTGGCTGTGTGTGGTAGCGTGGGATAGCTCCGGGTCGAATCCGCTTTGGACAGTCTCCGCGGGCTGTAGTCCACGCCTCCTCCCAACAGACTACCTCTGTCTCCAGAAACAGAACCAGAACCAGTCTGAAGGCCCAGTTCATTCTGAGACAGCAGCTCGTACTGGGCTTTCTTCGCCGCTGGAACTACATGGAACAGGATGAATGGAGAACGCATCGCCTGTCTGAACAAATTCTGGGCCCTGAGGAAGAGAACAACACACACACACACACATCTCAGTACGGATGTATCTCTTTCAGGCTCATCCTAAGTACTGGGATTGTTAAAAGCAGAGCACATGGAGAGGTCGAAAGGCTGCCTTGCTTAATCGCTGGCTAATTGTACTAGTACAGTTGGAAACAAGGTTAATTCACATTATCTGCCATTTCCATAATCGCAAAGCCTTGGGGAGGAAGCAGGGAAACGTATTAGAGGCAGGAAAGCAGGATCTGTTTTCATAAGTGTGGCACATGGAGGACAATAACTGATCAGACGCACGACAGATAGGGACTCTATAACCTGCATGAGTCAAACAAAGAGAGAAATAGCAGATCATGTAATGATGGAGTGGTTTAGAAGTAACTTTTTTATACAATATATTCAATTGCAATGAGTCACACAATGAGGTTATTTTAGTAGAGTAGCTCTCCGTAATAAAAACAAAACAAAATTTTTACTCAAGACAGCAACGTAAGAGACTTGAAATTAAGGAAATTTATATGCTCGCCAAGGATGCATTGAATTTATTATAAATACAGTAAAACTGTAAAATTGTGAAGTATTATTACAATTTAAAATAGCTGTTTTCTATGCGAATACAGTAAAGTGTAATTTATTCCTGTGATCATTACTCCGGTTTTGATCCTTCAGAAATCACTCTAATATGAGGATCTGATTATTATCAGTGTTGAAAACACTTGTGCTGTTTTATAATGGGATGCATTTATTTAAATATAATCTTCTGCAACTATGTCACTTTCGATCGTCTTTGCCGTATGAAAAAAAAAGAGACCTGACCCCGAACATTTGAACGTTTCTGAATCTTGGCATAGAAAATCTGATATTTTACAAGAAAATATTGTAAAATTTTCAGTGAATAATACTTCAAATGTCAGCCTGTTCTTCACAAAAAGCAATCATATGACTTAAAGGAGTAGTTCACTTTTGAAAAAACGTTTGCTGATAATTTACTCGCCCCCATGTCATCCAAGATGTCCATGTCTTTCTTTCTTCAGTCAAAAAGAAATGAAGGTTTTTGATGAAAACATTCCAGGATTTTCTCCATATAATGGACTTCAATGGGAACCAAACGGTTCAAGGTCCAAAAGACACTTTCAGTCCAAACTGCAAACTGTTCAAAGGGCTTTAAACGATTCCAGACGATGAATAAGGGTCTTTTCAAGCAAAACGAACGCTCATTTAATAAATAAATAACAAAGTTTAAGTTTATAAGCTCAAATGCTCGCCTAGCTCTGTTCTGTGATGCGCGTTCGTGACTCTCCCGTTCGAACTCAAAATGATTGAATCTTTTTCCGAGTCATTTGGTTCATTCAACGAACGAAACGAACGAATTGACTCGGAAGAAGATTTGTTCATTTTGATGAACGAGTTCAAACAGGAGATTCGCGAACGCGCATCACAGAACAGAGCAAGGCGAGCATTTGGACCTTGAACCGTTTGGTTCCCATTGAAGTCCATTATATGGAGAAAAATCCTGGAATGTTTTCATCAAAAACCTTAATTTCTTTTCGACTGAAGAAAGAAAGACGTGGACATCTTGGATGACATGGGGGCGAGTAAATTATCAGCAAAAGTTTTTTGAAAAGTGAACTACTCCTTTAAGGTGACTTGAAATACAGTGTCAGCACTTTTATCTTGCTTTTTTGTCAGATTTTGGAAATTTGAAGCTCCAGTCAAGATGTTGTTATTGTTACTTTATGCATTTACATTGTACTAATACCAAACAAATATAAGACAAGCACATCGAGATCACAGGTTAATTTCACTATTTTGCATATAGATTGTTTGACACTGGAAACTCAAACCCAACGAGACGCACAAGATACAGCCGAGCTCAACAGTCGTGTGTGTTTCTGTTTACTCGTCTAACATGAGAAACATTGCAGCAAGTTATCTCCCGCTCAATAAACTCTTCATCAGATCAATCTAGTCTAGAGAGCGATAGCGTCTCACTTTAGGGACGCCCATCTATTTTTATGCAAATGTGTCCCGACCCGCCTCCAACGCGAGCAGTGTGTGTGTGCAGAGCGGTGACACGTGGATAATCACCAAACTCACTCTGTCTGATTGAATAATAAATGACTCCATCAACGCATCATTACATTGAGTTAGATCAACCGCTGATAAATATTTACCCATGCAAACAATCCAATAAGATTAGAATATCGTTATGAATTACAACTCCACATGGAGCATAATCAAGAGAGAAAGCCAGATGAAGAAAACACTGTTCTGTGCTCGTGTGTGTGTGATCACAGCATCTGGCGGCGACAGCGACAGCGCAGATTAAAACGTCCGTCTCTTGCGGAACGACTCGAAACGCATAAACCGCAAGTTTGTTTACGGATGACTACCGTATCGAATCGACGAGTCCAACGCCCTGGGGAATGGCAATATATGAAGAACAAAAGCCTGCAGTATCCTAACATGTACAACACACACATTATCGACCTGAGAACTGGGTTTGCGTTAGCGATAGCCTATATGAGGTCCTGACTGGGTCTCATGCAAAAATATAGCCAAGCAATTAAAACATTATAATGCTTTGGGACACTGGGGAAATTAACTGGTTGTGTTGAGTTTGTGTAAGCACATCACGTGATCATCTGGACCGAGTCGCCCGAGACCGGGCCGGAGGAAGCTCGTGATGAGAGATATGGAAGCAAGACCTCTTTTCTACAAGCAATATTCGTATCGAATCATCATAATCGTCCTTACAGCAAACTTTACGCTACTGAGATGATGGAGAACAATCACCATCTCAGTACTTGTCCTACAATACTACAGTAAATGTATACTGTAATTATACTGTAACAGGGACACCTTAAAATAAAGTCTTTTTTTTCTGCTGTGAGTAGAGCTTTTTTTTTTGCAATTTTTCTTGCACTTTACTTTCTAGTTGCTAGGGTGAGGCAAGATGGTTGTTAGGGTGTTAGTGGGGTATTATAGTTGGTTGCTAGGGTTTATCAAGATGGTTGTTAGAGTGTTAGTGGGGTATTATAGTTGGTTGCTAGGGTGTAGCAAGATGGTTGTTATGGTGTTACTGGGGTATTCTAGTTGGTTGCAAGGGTGTATCAAGATGGTTGTTAGGATGTTACTTGGGTATTCTAGTTGGTTGCTAGAGTGTAGCAAGGTGGTTGTTATGGTGTTACAGGGATATTCTAGTTGGTTGCTAGGGTGTAGCAAGATGGTTGTTAGGGTGTTACTGTTATGGTGTTAGTGGGGTATTCTAGTTGGTTGGTAGGGTGTAGCAAGATGGTCGTTAGGGTGTTACTGGGATATTCTAGTTGGTTGCTAGAGTGTAGAAAGATGGTTGTTAGGGTGTTACTGGGGTATTCTAGTTGGTTGCTAGGGTGTAGCAAGCTGGTTGTTATAGTGTACTGGGGTATTCTAGTTGGTTGCTAGGGTGTAGCAAGATGGTTGTTAGGGTGTTACTGTTATGGTGTTACTGGGGTATTCTAGTTGGTTGCTAGGGTGTAGCAAGATGGTTGTTAGGGTGTTACTGTTATGGTGTTACTGGGGTATTCTAGTTGGTTGCTAGAGAGTAGCAAGATGGTTGTTAGGGTGTTACTGTTATGGTGTTACTAGGGTATTCTAGTTGGTTGCTAGGGTGTAGCAAGATGGTTGTTAGGGTGTTACTGGGATATTCTAGTTGGTTACTAGAGTGTAGAAAGATGGTTGTTGGGTGTTACTGGGGTATTCTAGTTGGTTGCTAGGGTGTAGCAAGCTGGTTGTTATGGTGTTACTGGGGTATTCTAGTTGGTTGCTAGGGTGCAGCAAGCTGGTTGTTAGGGTGTTACTGTTATGGTTTTACTGGGGTATTATAGTTGGTTGCTAGGGTGTAGCAAGACGGTTGTTAGGGTTTTACTGGGGTATTCTAGTTGGTTGCTAGGGTTTAGAAAGCTGGTTGTTATGGTGTTACTGGAGTATTTTAGTTGGTTGCTTGGGTGTAGCAAGATGGCTGTTAGGGTGTTTCTGTTATGGTGTTACTGGGGTATTCTAGTTGGTTGCTGGTGTGCAGCAAGACGGTTGTTAGGGTGTTACTGGGGTATTCTAGTTGGTTGCTAGGGTGTAGCAAGCTGGTTGTTATGGTGTTACTGGGGTATTTTAGTTGTTTGCTAGGGTTAACAAGATGGTTGTTATGGTGTTACTGTTATGGTGTTACTGGGGTATTCTAGTTGGTTGCTAGTGTGCAGCAAGACGGTTGTTAGGGTGTTACTGGGTATTCTAGTTGGTTGCTAGGGTGTAGAAAGATAGTTGTTAGGGTGTAACTGGGGTATTCTAGTTGGTTGCTAGGGTGTAGCAAGCTGGTTGTTAGGGTGTTACTGGTATACTCTAGTTGGTTGCTAGGGTGTAGAAAGATGGTTGTTAGGTTGTTACTGGGGTATTGCAAGTGAAAAGAGTCCGCAGTCAAGTCTCTAGGGTGTTTGTTTGATGTCCCAAGTAAAACAAAAAAAAAAAAAAAAAAAGTGTGCATGCAGCTGTTGTGAATTCGGCTGAAACTATTTTGTGCAATTATCAGTGAAGTGATTAAGCCCACTATTAAATTCAGCTGTAAAAACATTCTCGCCGGTACAAAAACAAATCAAAAATGTTGCATATGATCACCAACAGTTCTTCTTTCGGTGCAAAAGTAGCTAATTAACATTGTCAATGGGTCCTAGATCGATACATAAATAAATCAAAACAAAAAAATAAATATTTAAATTTAATTTATTTTTGATTTATTGTTTGAATGTTTTTATTTTATTATATTTTCCAATGCTTCTGTTGTCCGAATGTGGGTAGTCGTGTTCATTACATCATATATTCAATAATTTCAGAAAGGTTTTGCAGGTTAATTTCAATAAACTGACCATTTGCACTGAGGAGGGATTCACTTTTAAATTACAGTATCATACAGTATAACAGTGCATCAAACATAAGGGAAATCAAAAAATTATATAATAATCCTTTCAATGACCTCCATTGTTCCAACTGATTGCATTGACAACTTCTGCCAGCTTTGAACAGAGATGTTTCTCTTTGTTTAGTTAGCGAGAGATGAGATGAAAGAACATTGTGAAGGTCGATGGCCAGACTGAAGAGACTCTCAAAGCTCAGAGGAAGACTGAAAGCTCATGAAAGTGTGAAAAGGACAGAGAGGTTGAAGGGATAAAGCAGAGCGGCAGCCGTGAGAGGAACGAGAGGTTAAGACGTTCTGTTTCTGTTCAAGGCTTACTGTTCAAATCGGATGTTGCGCAGGTCTCCGTTATTAATCCTGACGATACAGTCGTTCTCCTGGAAGAGAGATTCCCGCTCCGCCTTTCCGCCTCTCTCCAACCTCTTCACTAACAAACCCAGAGTCCTGGAACAGTCACAGCACACATCAGAGACACAAGCGCTGGTCTCAGATCAGACACACCACACATTACTGTCAGAGAACTCAGTGATAATTACAATCATTCAGTCCGTTATACATGCTGTTGTAAAGATATTTCCAGAAATCAAGAGACCCCTGTAGCTCAGAGTGCTACAAATATTTACTTCGGTAACCAGAGCTTTGCAAAAATACCAGTTACTTAAATCATTGTTACTCGGGTAGACAGTCATGTTCCCCATGTATATGTACACTGTAAAAAAAAGTTGCTGCCTTAATTAAATTAAGTACAATCAACTTGGATGTTTAAGTAATGTCAACTTAAATTAAAGCTGCAAGCAGGCCCTCACACCCGTGCCGCCGCCACCCGGTGGTTTTAGGAAGACGGTGGGCAGTGTGTAATGATAATAAATATAGGAGGACTATGTCAAAGTATTTGTATTTGCCACACTTCCTGCTACCAGCAGGTGGCGCTATTTCTATAACCAAATATGAGCATGGTCATGTGTTCAGGACAGGACTCTTATCAAACATGTGAAGTTTGGGGCCGATCGGACATTGTATGCCTGAGTTACTGCAGACTGTCTGTGGTTGCCTAGCAACATCGGAACTGCAAGCAATATTGACCTATATGACATATTCATGCACAAATCCCCAAAAGGCTGTAATTGGGTGTACATTTGTCGGGCAATCTTGTATAACTTATGAAAAAGGTCGAAACAGCTTAACTTATGTTTATAAATTGCTTTAACTCATCAAAATATGTTGTCATAACTCATTTTTTACAGTGTATTACAGTTTTTACAATAGCTATAGGTACTAACCTCGAACCCAAGCTTAACCTAGATTATATAACTCAGTTATTTCTGAGGTAACTTTACATTATAACAAATGAACAGTGTCTTTGTGTTGTTATTATTTTTATTAGTTACACTTTACTATAATGTGTCTTTGTTACAGTGTCATAATACATTTAAGTACTGAGTAATATTAATAATCTATAGGGTTGAGCATACGCTCTAAAAAATGCTGGGTTGTTTTAACTCAATGTTGGGTCAAATATGGACAAACCCAAAATGTTGGGTTAAAAATGAAATGTAAAAATTTAACCCAACGGCTGGGTTAGTCCATATTTGACCCAAAGTTGGGTTAAAACAACCCAGCATTTTTTAGAGTGTAGGTTTGGTGGAGGGTTAGTTGCATGTAATTTTGCATAATGTATAGTATTACTATATAAACTGCATGTAATGTGTAACAAGGACACTGTAAAATAAAGTGTTAACTTATTATTAGTATTATTAAATTACACAATATTTAAACAAATGATTATTAATTAGTAACTATTATTATTAAAATGTTTGTTAATACAGCATAGTATCGCAATAAATTATAATTAATATTAATAATTTCAAACTGTATTGGTATTTTTTTTGGGTGGAAACTATGTAATCATAAATCATACAAAACCACAAATCAATGTTTAAAAGAAAACTGTGTGTCCACTGCATCCTTTCATGACAACATAGTTATGTCATATTCAAAAAAGATTTAAAAAAAGTAGATGGAGCCGTCACATTTATCAAAGGAAAAAAAGGAAAAAATAAAATAAAATAAAAACATTAAAAAGGAATACACATCCCATTGATCTTGAACTTTTGGAAAGTTTACTGTTCCTAGCGGCTCTTTCAACTCAATACATCAAAAAAGGACTTTCTGAACTTAAGCCCGCTTTGGCCATATGGATTTTTTGGCACTGTTCTCAGACCTGCAGTGGTTTCAGACTCCCTGATCTACAAACCCTGAGATATAATCATGTGAAATGCACCAGATTTTGATATAAACAGAGCATTCGAACTCTTTCCTCCTTCCAGAGGCCCGAGTCTGTTGAAACATTTACTTTTAATAAAACTAAAAAAATATATATTAATACGTTTAGGAAGCATGATGTGTGTGTGCCGATCGCAGAAGGCAGGGATTGATCCTATGGATGCACAGACAGCAGAACCTGAGTTGAATGATTGATTGATGAATGAAGGAAAAATTATGGCATCAAAAAGCCCTGCATGAGCTGGAGAAACGGATGGATGGATAGATCAAACCCTCCTTTAAAGGAAAGAAAGATGTGATTAGTTTGAGTGGCTGTGGTGTGGTCTTGTGGAGTAATCACACAGCTTGCACTCTGTGTCTCCATAATGTGGATGTAAAGCAGCTGTGGGGAAGCGGATCAACCCGACTCCCACTGGACCGATGTACGATCTGTACGGCCTCATTATTCATTAGCTTACAAGAGGAGAGTTAAGGTGCGGTCACGCTAAACTTCAAGCATGGAAAATGACTTCCAAACACGCAACAAATATGAACAACACTCATGCATTCATTATCCTATAACTAGAACTTCATTTATCTGTAAGTGGATATTTAACTGCATTATTGCCCTTATTTTATAGATTGCATTTGTCATCCAGCACTCACATAAAGTTAAACTTTCAAAACATTAATAATATAATAGCACAAATGTCATTTTAGCAAATCTTAAAATGGATATGTATTTTATACTGTACTTGTAGCATTTTAAACATACATTGACTTTTAAGTGTAGCATTTGTTTTATTTATTTATTTATTTGACAAAAGAGTGTTTTAATTTCAGCCAATTATGGTTTTATAACAAATCTCCAAATGAATATACATTCTTACATACTTTATACAATATAATGTTACAATGCGTAAACTCACTTGTAGCACTTAAAAGGAAGAGTTTTTGATTTTAGTGTTTGTAGACAAAATGGAAATTTTAACAGTCATTTATCAGTTATCAGTCATAAAAAAAATATATAGAGACTCATTCCCAGTTAAAACATATTAATATACAGTATATCTGATATGTTATCTGTGACATTTGCCATTTGTACATGTATAAACGGAAGCCAATGGAGAAGTTAGTGTGTCGCAACCTTAACTGTGCGTTCACACCAGACGCGAATTATTCGGAATAACTACCGCGTCTAGTTATACGCTTGAACACTTTGAATCCATTTGCACGTGAAGAGCGAAATTGACGCGTGTAAAAACAAAAGTTTGAAGCGAAATTTACGTGTGTCACGTGTGCCAGAATCGAAACCCGTTGGCGGCCATCTTTTTTATGTTATTCGAGCATTCATCGAGAGAGTCACCACTCTGTATTTGCTCTGGGGATCATCGTCGCCGTATTTGTGTCCACCGGACCCCTCTGAGGCGAACCGTTTGGCGACTTTCACCATTTGTTCGCTGGACGACGGCCGCTGTCAGCATTACTTACGTCTATCTCGCGCCCAGTTTGATGACCTGATGTCCTGCATCGGAGCGAGGACCACCCTCGCCCTCATCCACCTAATCTGTCATTTGTTTTTGTTTTGATGATAACTAGACTTAAACTTATGCACATGAATGTTGGTTGTCTTTACATCATAATATTTCATACAATCTAGATTTGGAATAAATAACATTCAATACAAAATGAACATGTCTCGTATATTGAAATAAAGTTTTAAGTGATAAAATATTTGCTTTGTTGTGCATTAGAACCACACCAGGCATTTAGTCATATTACAAAATTTATTGAAGCATCCAGATCCAGGCTCCTGATTGGTTAACGAGGTGCGAATTGACGCCAAAGTTGTGAATTCGCAAGAAACGCGTGAACGTACAAATAGCACTAACTAAATCATTCGCACTTAACAATCCAGATACTCAATTCACGCCATTCGCCTCACTTATCGCCTCATTCGCGCCGCAGGACGTTTTTTTGCACATATCGCGTCTTTGCATTGACTTAACATTGAAATCACTCACGCCTGACGCACTATTTGCATCCGGTGTGAACGCACCATAAGACTGAGTCGAATTTGCATTCTATCCATCCTAAATAAAAGTCCTAAAATTATGCAAGACTATTATATCTCGATACTGACAGACTATTTACCCAAAAGTATGCATTTTCCCCAGCCTGGATGCTAGCCGAGCTTAGCCCCGCCCACAACATTCGAGGATGGGAAGTTCGGTCCGTTGTGAAGCAACTATGCACGAACCAATCAAATCGTCAGGGCGGGCTTTATACGATGATGGACAGATGATTAACAGTAACGTAAAAAAAGAGCGCTTGGGTTGAATTCGTTTACAACAAAGATGGCCGCCGCTGGAGATTCAGCCATCGCGTCTGTTATAGAAGATCTAGACAGCATATTCATCTTAACAGAGGAACAGAGAACCGCGATCAAGGCATTTCTCGATCGGAAAGATGTTTTTGCCGTCCTTCGTACGGGATTCGGTCTATCCAATTGAGTTCAGAGGCATTTTCTTTCCTGGTTCGGTTGAAACAGGGCCCATAATCACAGTCCAATGGAGCCGTATCAGACTCTCGCTAACGTATGACGACGGTAGGCGTTTTCCCATTAAAGTAAGGACCTTTTGTATGTAATATAATCTCCTTTAGTGTCCTGTTTGGAGCACTTGACAATGTGGTATCAAAGAAATAGCATATACAGTTTGCCATACATCTAAAAGATGGATTTAGTTCTGGCTTTAGCATAACCAGAGACGCTTGTGTGTTGAGTGATGGCCCAGAAGACTAAGCGAGAAGGAGACCACCTGTTCTTTTCCACTGCCTTTAATTGAATAACAATGCAATCAGGATCCATTTATGGCGAGCAATTAGACCCTGACTTGTTTGCGGTGAACACTGGTCATGTGATGAGATCTCGTTACTGGAGTCATGTTTCCGCAAGACTCCGTGTCTGTGTAATTTCTGGAGATGTCGTACGCCTCATGCTGTCGGCTGAGAGAAGACACTGGTCATTGTAGAAGTTCAAACTCTGAGATCTCGCTGTCCCCTCAGTGCCCTCTATCAAGATGCTAATGAGCGAACATTCAACGGCGCGCACCAATCACAGCGCGAGAGGCTGATGAAGTCATTACAGACATGTGGCTGTGGAAGTGGGTATAATTGACAGTTCTGGTTAGTTATTAACTAAAATATCACGTCGGTGGCCATTTACAACTCTGATATTTATACAAGGACATGGTGACAAGGACGGATTGCTACTGAATGTGAGCGGGGAAAGATATGGTAATGTATGAAAAGATGCATACTAATAAATGTGAATTAAACTTACAAGTGCATTGTCACTGTAATATAAGAATGTTTAAATTATTAAGGTGCAGTCACAATAGATTTCAAGCAATATTTCACAGCCTAATAATAATAATAGTAATAATTAATATAAATCAATAAATAAAAAATGTAATAAATGTATTATAAACAATAAAATTTAACTAAAAATTAAATGAAATAATGCCATGAAATTAATTAAATTAAATTAAATTAAATTAAATTAAATTAAATTAAATTAAATTAAATTAAATTAAATTAAATTAAATTAAATGAAAATAAATTAAATTAAATTAAATTAAATTAAATTAAATTAAATTAAATTAAATTAAATTAAATTAAATTAAATTAAATTAAATTAAATTAAATGTCCATTGCATGTATTATTATGTCAATAATATCAATAATTAAACTAAGTTCTAAGTATTAGTGATTGGGCATGTACAATATTTTTACGTATATATATGTATCAATAAAATCATAAAAAACAATCAAGTTTAATAAAAAAAATAAATGAAATGAAATTGAAATAATGAAATGAAATTAAATTAAATTAAATTAAATTAAATTAAATTAAATTAAATTAAATTAAATTAAATTAAATTAAATTAAATTAAATTAAATTAAATTATTAAATATGTACATTGTGTGTATTATTAGGTCAATAATATCAATAATTAAACTAAGATCTGAAAATTAGTAATTGGGCATGTACAATATTTTTTTTAGGATGATAATTGTGGTATTTGTTATTATTATTATTAAATCTATTCCTTTATCATGAATCCAATACTGAAACTCATCATAGTATTCTTTTTTTTTTCCCTTTTTTTGGCTTGACATTCATATATACCAGCATCAAATTAGGTCTGAAAAGGTTGTGCGTTTTTATAGCTGATAAAAAGCTCTCCGAAAATCCCTTTATAGTCGTCATCTGCAGGATTTGAACACTTTTCTCATTTATTTGCACCTTCCTTTTTTCATTTTGTGATTCTTACACCAGCTGACCTTGGATGTTGTGAATGACCCATGATATGGATGAGCTTTTAGTCAGATTGGGTGAAGCAGATTAGATGAATTGAGTTGGCCGGATTGAGGTTTTCCTATAGCAATAAAGTTCCCTAATTTATTCAGCGCCATGCCCCGTGTCCCCTTTGTCCTTGTTCAGCAGTGTCCCATTCCATGTCGCTGCTTTGCTTTCATTATTTAACTGGAGAACATACACTAGTTATAGACAGTCCCACTCGAGAGAGCGCCATACTGTCAATACGTCCTTGAGGAATGAGGAAAAACTATCTTGAATGCATGGTACATGCTGGGGAAGTTAGGTATGAAAGAAAGTTGAAGGATGCAGAGGACACAACTGGATTATTCAGAACAAAACCAAGAATAAAACAAATTTATGGTAGACAATGTATTTTTGTTGAGCTTTACCTTCTGTCTCTGCCACTGAAAGGCACCACGTGGATTCCTAGGGGCCCGCCGCCATTGGACACCTCAACCGGCTTTACCATTTCACTAGAGACAATGAGAAATGAGGGGAATGTGAGGAGAAACAAAACCCAAGAAAAGTAGTAAACAAAGAAAAGGCAATACATAAAAAGTTTAGAAGATGACAGAGCGGCTATGAGTAGCGACGAGCTAACGCTAGTCTAGATCCAGTCCATCTATAACTCCAGGGGCCATTACGACCCACGGGTCGATGGAGGAACCAAACAGACACTTCAATTAAGTGATTAGGATCAGATTGAGGCTAGTTCTGGCTTTTTTAAAAGTCAGGGAGAACACTACACCTGTGAGAGAAAAAAAAACAGGGACAAGGAGAGGACAACAACAAGAATGACGAGACAGTTTAAGGCTAATTCACCCAAAAATTAGATATTTTGGAACACAAGTCAGGGTTATTACAATGAATTAAAACTAAAAGCTATTTGATACTTAAAATAAGGTTTTACGGAAATGCTTCTTGCGCTTGAAAAGTCAAAATGCCCATGTTGACGAGTTTCCTTGTAAACATAATCAGTTATGTCTCGTGTAAATGTAAACAGCATGTGTATCAGTATATTGGATCCATGCATTCACTCTTAAAGTGACAGTAGCCTAATATTCCCCCTGCTATCTGTGTTTTTAATGTTAATCAATCACTCACTGCGCTTGACTGGACAACTTCTGTAGTTTTAAGAGTTGAAATAAGAAACAAAAGTGGACAAATATCGATTGTTTCTGAGCAAGTTTACCCTAAACACACCCTCCATCTGCCACTGGTCAGTCAAAAAGAAAGCCCCGCCCCCAAGCTCATGCCATTGGTTGAGCCGTTGCTACGTGGGGCAGGCTGAATTCTCAAAAGACTTTTCACTTTTACACTTTAATTAGCTAATTAGCTGTATAATATTAAGCTGTATATGAAATATATAAAATACACTTTGAATATATGCATTGCATTGTGTGGACTTTTTTTGGTAAATAGATTTTCATTGCATAGAAAAGCACAGTCTGGATATTTTTCTAGATATCTCATTTTTGTTCAATAGTATTTATTTAAAAACAAAATTGGGTGAAGTATTTCTTAAAGATATTGTTTTTTTTTTTGTGTTTATTTTTTTGGAGATTCAATTCACAAACTCCTGTGACGACTTACTCGAGTGAAGCGGATTCAACACAGGAATCTGCCCGTCCCACCGGTTCTATCCTTCCGTTCTTCCCGTTGTCCGCTCTCTCCTCGTCTTCTTCTTCTTCTTCCTGTGGGGTACCAGAGTAAAAACACTGTGTCAATGGTTGATCTCACATAAACCTCCCAGTCTCTGTCTCCCTCTCTTGCTCTAATCTAATAGAGTGACCATAATGGCTGCTGTTTTAAATCAGGGTGACGGAGAACGGCCCTGGCGCAGTCGTGCCTTTGAAAAGATGCCTGTAATCGATTATTCATATTCAATCAATCAGTCTGGGCTCGGCCGCTCAGGTCTGCTGCTAATCGGATAAGGGAAGAGTTGAGTGGATGCTCATTTGTTTCTTTCACTATCCTTATCTAATTTACATCTCTCTGTCTTTCTATTTCTCAACCTCTTGACACATCTGAAATGTGCAGATGTCATTCACAATTCTTCAAAAAATGTCTTGTCAGATAATGGAGGTCAGGATATCCCATCAAACATATTGACAGGATGACCACAAAAAGCATTTCAGCTGCAATCATTGAAATGTTTAGTCAAGCCTAATGGGAAACAAAGGCTTTCATTACATTCGGCATTTCAAACCCCAATATTCTTTAGCTGAGTTTAAAGTCTAAAGTCAGATCCATTCAACACTTCCACTGTAAAAAAATATTGTTGGTTTAACTTAAAAAAATGAAGTAACCTGGTTGAACTTTAAGAATTCAAAAATTGAGTTAATACAATGATTTAATAATCAGCAACTCAAAATATTATGTTATCTGAACCACATACATTTTCTAAGTTGATTTGACAGAAGAAAAAACGTTGTGATAACAAATCATTTTACAGTGGCACATTAAATCAGGAGATGGACCAAAATGGATGTCATTTGAAATAAATGAATGAACGGATGAACGGTTTAATGATTGGTCAGATAAAATAATACTAAAAAAACAAGTTGCATGGTCTAATGATTTTACACACTCCGATCAGCAACTACGATCAGCACACATCGATAATAATCCTAATAAAAATAAAAAGTGAATAAAACCAAAACTATGTGAAAAAGGTGAGAAAATGAACGTGTAAAAAGTCAATATGACAACACATGTTTACATAGCTTTAACTCAATTTTCAACTTAGACAAGATACATTTTTTGAGCCAGTTTAATGTCATTTAGGAGTAGTTCACTTTTAAAAAAAAAACTTTTGCTGATAATTTACTCACCCCCATGTCATCCAAGATGTCCATGTCTTTCTTTCTTCAGTCGAAAAGAAATTAAGGTTTTTGATGAAAACATTCCAGGATTTTTCTCCATATAATGGACTTCAATGGGAACCAAACGGTTCAAGGTCCAAAAGACAGTTTCAGTGCAGCTTCAAAGGGCTTTAAATGATTCCAGACGATCAATAAGGGTCTTATCAAGCGAAACGATCGCTCATTTAATAAA